GACTTGGTTGTAAAAAGATTTTACTCAGCTCTTTTTATGCCTGCAAGGTATAGAAAAAAATTAGTTCGTTAATCTTTTTTCTGATATGTGGGTTGAGTGCAAAATATATTAATGAGTCATTGCTTCCATAAGACATTGCAAAGTTTTCTCCCTTTGTTCAAAATTTGAAGATTTGCTTTTTTACTGTGTTTTCACTTTTCAGGAGGAATTCAGCTAACAAATTAAAAATGCATTACATCAGTGCTACCCAATCATAGAATTTTCAGCTGTCCCTTCCCTATACAGTATAGTTTTGTTTGTGTCAGACTCAGACATCAGCACTATTCAAAATGTATGTTGTATTATGACAAACAACATTTTAAATTTTCCTCCACCCTTCAAAATTTCTTCAAGGCAATGATTGTGATTTATTGCACAGCACTGATGAGTTGAAGTGCAACTTTTCAGTTGATAGGGTTAATGTGGAACTTCAAAAGTTTTTTATTGTGGCCCGCAATGACTCTCAACTTTTGAATTGTGGCCCTAACCCACAAAAATGTATTTATGTGGCCCTTGACCACATCTCAGTTGGGCATTTACTGCATTATGTAATGGAAAGGCCTTTTTGGTGGGTGGAAAAATTATGTCAACTGAACCCTGATGGACTTAGCTTTGCCTTCCATTATTTTTCTTTTTGCGAATTCGTTTTCAAGTTTTAGAAGATGAGTGATTCTGCTCTTAGCTTCAGTATTGAAGATGTTCTAAAAATTCCATGCATATCTTCTGGCTGCCCCAGACTTTATTTTGATTGCTTGCTGGAAGTTACAGAAAACGAATCCTGACACTTTTTGACAAAAACATTCGGATGCTTGAAATATCTTGTTTTTCTGAATGAGAAGTTCAGAACCATTTGGCACAAGTGCCATCTGGTTTGCGAATGAAGCCCTTCTCACAAGCGCCACCAACACCCATGGAAGGAAGGAAGAAGGTTGTTTGACTGCAGTTTCCATTGAAATCACGCCTGGTTCCTGCTGAGCACTTGGATTGCACATTGATGAGTTGTTTCAAGACCAAGGGTTCGCAGATGGGGACCAAGTCTGTTGTACTGACAACAATCCCTTCATTTTCACCTGTGCAAGGTCCAGTTGTACCTGAAAAAAAAATTAGTGGAAATTATAAAATGAAGCCTTCTTTGTCTATAAATAAGCTGAGATATAATGTGACATTATTTGAATTATTACTGCAATTGAGCATGAATTTCCTCTGCTACTAAAGTGTCACTTATTCCAGCTCATTGGGAGAAGAAATCAAGTTCAACTTTGAAAAACTTGTTTTGTACATGATTTTTTTGGATCATTGTGCAAAGGTACTCAATCTTTGACCAGAATAATGGTCAAACTTTGTTGATTGATTCAAGTAAAATCTAAATAAAATAGGAGTTTCCATTGTTCTTGAAAAAAATCTGGCAGTTGAAGAAAACCTAGAAATGAACATCTTCTTGACAGAACTTGATCTATCAAAAATAAATGGCAACACTGTATTGAAAATTTTAAAAAATCTGAATTCAATGTTTGAGGCAATCCATGATGAAGTAGTTTTGATGCCTTTGCTTATTCATGTTAACAAAACTCCAAAATACTCTTTGTGGGATGTTCATGACTGGGACAAATATTCCAAATAAAAAAATCCAGAATCTTCAGGAATGGTTCACACAAAAGAAATTATTTGTCATGCCTCAAAGGCAATAAAATGACAGTCGCTTTTCTAACCCATTCCAGTTCTTTAACAAGTCATTTGCACTCCCTCTTTTGAGTTGTTTTCATTTGATTTTGTGTCACATAAATTAGTTTATTTTCTTAATTTTAAACTTTGTGATCTTGCAGAACTTTTTTTTTTTGCTTTCTGTGTTGTGTATATAGTACAGTATAGAGAAGAACACAATAACTTCCATTTGAGCAAATATTTCAGTACATTACACAAATTTCAACATATATGGCAGTCAAATTCAACAATTTATTTTTGCTATCTTTTTATAAATTTTGTGACTGCACCATTATTAGTTCAAATGTGCACTTGCTCATTGATATTATGCACCTATTAAAACGTATAACCACCAGTTACCAATTACTATATATCATTTGAGAATATAAAAGAGCATCATCTAGGATGTATTTTTACAATTTTGCTTCTTTAAAAAATTCCAGCTTATATAATACTTACTCAATGCGTAACAGACCCCGTCATTCCACAAAACATTCAGTTCAGCATCGCAAGGATTGGTCTGACAGCTGATGAACTTGGCCAAAGGATCATAGACCAGGATCTGGCCCTCGGGGCAAGGACCCCTGGAATAAAGTTGGTAGCAGCGGTCGTCTGCTGGCCAGAAAACTAGTCCGGCGGAACAGTCGCATTGACCAGTGCCCCTGACCTTATCAGTGACTGACACGTGGTTCGGCCTGACTTCAGGGCACTTATCAATGCCGAAGGAAGCGGAAGCACAGACTCTTGTGGGATTGCCTGGGATGGTCCAGAGAAGCTGGTTGCCTGGACATGGCTTTAGACTGCATTTGCCATCAGTTGCTGCCAAAAAAATTAAATGAAAATTAAAAACTTAAGCATTCAACCTAATGCTGCAAAAGGTGTGAAATTTCATAATAATATTGATGTTGAGAACCTCTTAATCCCTGGAAATTTTTCAAAAAAAAAATCAGCAATTGAATTAAAATTACAGCTCCAAATAATTTGGCTTGAGGGGTTTTTGAGTTGGGCAATGAATGGCGTGATTGGTGTAGGGTTAATCAATGAATGAATGAATGAATGAACAAAACACTTTATTTGCCGCTTTTCAGCGTTCACAAGGTTCAATCAAGATTTCCACAACCAAACCCCCTTCCCACCCAACCCATATCCACTCAATGACATTTTAATCACTTCAGAGCAGGAAAGCACAAATTGATTACAAAAATAAAAGAAAATACAATACAACAATTAAAATAATTTTACTGGCATTATTGCAGCATTAAATTAGTTGATCATTTTTATATGTTCTATCATCTGGGCATAGAAAGTAGTCAAATCTCTTTTTAAAGGCATTAAGATAAACTTCACACCTATTCTGGATCAGGTGTTCTAAAATTCAGCACCATCAGTTGAATATCACAAGGGCAGGAAAAATTCAGTAGTGTGGAAGGTAAAGCCAACACTTTTTGAGTTAGGGAGGTTTAAAATTAGTAGATCTTTATATAAGAGGCTTTGTATTTACTGAACATTTGAGTCATGGAGGCTTTTCACTTTTTGGGGCTCAAGATTAAGAGGTTAAACTGGTTAATCACTCCTTCAGTTTAATCTACAAGAGCTTGGCCAAAAAATGATCGATTGTATTATAATTATCAGGCTGTGTAAGAGGTAAAACTAAAACAATATTCATCATTCTGTCCATTCAACCAAGACATCAAGAAGGAAAGCACATAATAAAGGTACAAAAATAAAAAATAAACTCATGAACCATTGCTATATAAATGACACCATTTCTTGCAAAACATTTTTTGGTAAAGTCCAAATATATTTTTTTTTCTTTATGTCAAAGTCTATAAATGGCTTTGTTTCCCTTTTGGTCATCAGGTGCATTACCAATTAATAACCACCCAAGTGTATGAAATTTCCATTTAAAAATTGACTTTAAAAACCGTGCACAGTGGTTTTTTTTGTTTAGGGAAATCCCAACAGTAATTCTGCGAAATTTTTATTGGCCTACCTGACCCATCAGCTTTAGTAAGCCACTGATTTTCTGGACAGGGTGCTCCTCTGGTCCATTCAGGATGACATCCATTGGCAAACTTCAGTTGTCCAGCAGGACATTGAGAAGTTCTTGAGCCTATATTGATTCAATCATTGATAAATTCCCACTTCTAATAACAGTAATTAATGTCAAGCTCACCAACTTGAGGTTTCTTACTGCCACCTGCAATATGTTCATCAAACAGTGTAGCCATTTACTATTTTAAAATTGAGTTTTTTTTTGCTCACCTGGGAAGATTATCTGAGCCCAGCAGCTGAATGCAAAAAAGGTCAGGCACAGAATCAAATATGAGTAACGGTCCTGGGTTGCCATTTTCCGCTCAATTGTTTCTTTAAGAGAACAAGAAAAAGAGAATTGCAGAATCAATAAATTCAAAATATTAATTCAAAATGAGGGAAAAGTTTCACTGCTACAATAGAAAAATAGTCAAAAGCTTGGTATGCATAAAATCTACAATAAGCACTTTTACAATTAAAGTCCTTGGTATACAAAAATCAGTATTTCACTGAGCTGCATTTTATTTGTTCAAAAACCTACAGAGTTACGTATATGTTGCTTCCATATTTGAAAGTACTTCTAAGTACTGAGAACTGGCCAGGTTTAATTAGTGCCACCAGACTGAGTTCTGTACTTCTTTGGCCATCAAGATAAGGTGTTAAATATTCTCTAATCAGAATAAGGAAAAGGTAGATTATTTGAATTTAATTCAAACTATATGGTGTTGCATGGATGTTTTGAAGCAGGGGTTTTCCTTTTCTTTCATTTTGAAGGCAGATCAATGGCAAAATAATTAAAAATTTTCAGGTAAGGTTTAATTATAAAATGTGAAATGTGATTCCAATTGTAGATGCACATAAAATGTAGAATTATTTTTCAAAGGTGTAGCTATGACAACAGCATGTTCAGTTTAACAACAATGCTCCACATGTTCTTATTGAGTCAAAAGATAATGACTGAATCAATTTCAATTGACAGACAAATTTTTTCATGGAATTCTGATGAATATTTCTATCGTAAAACACCAATTAAAAATTATATAATGTAAGTCTATGAGAAAACAAGACTCAGCTTAGTGACACTCTTGATGCACCAATTACATCCGCATCTTGGGATCTCACTTATTACTGTGTGTACAGTATATTCAAAATGAAGAAGTGTATATACTGTATCAAGAAAAATATCTCAGAGATCACCAGAAGCTAATTTTGAAGTTAGGGGTTAAATCAATCATTAATAGTTTAATTAAATGCAGCATTTATTCCTCTGGAATAATTCACTCCAACAATGCAGACTGTAGAGCATTCCAGTATTTTGAAGGGTTACACAAAAGTTGACTCGAAATTATTCTGGCTTATCGTTCATGGTCTAAAAAAATAATAAAATGAAATCACTGAAAGAACCGAACCAGCATGAAAGCAAAGCAGTCGCCTGGGACAAGTTCACTTGGCAACTAAACTTGAGTTGCTGGAATCGGACCTCGGCTGCTGTGTCCTTCTCCTTCTCTTACTTGTATCTCATCTGCACTCGTTCCGGGAAAGAAGCCCAGAATTACTTCTTTTGCTGCTTATTCGAGTGGTTTTTTTTTTTTTTTTAGTTGATAATTCTTAATTCTGGGTCTTATCTTTCCAAAGAAAATCAAAGAAGAAAAGCTGCTGGGCGGTCATTGTGAACGACGTATATATTGTAGACATTGAACCTGTACATGACGATGGGAACAATTGAAATGAGATTCTGCTGCTGGTTTTTCTCCAAGGTTCTTCTTATTATTATTCCACGCCGCACCCTGAATTGTATTCTCTTATAGCTGGGTTATTGAAACTCTTGCTCTGACAATGGGGTTGAATAAAAATAAAGATGTATCATGTAATATTGTACGTGCAATTTGAAAAGATTTTCGCAAAAATTCGTCCGTGATTTTGGGTAAATTTTCCCTTGGACGAAATTTCACTTTTCGTAGCTCACTTTACGAGAAGTAAATTGGCACTCGTCAATTTTATCATTTCTTGACTTTATTCGCGGGTATTTCCCAGCGATTGATTCAAGGTGTGTCAAACAGGACTCCGAAGAATTGCGCAATATGCGATGAGGGTTCTTGCGTAATGCTGTGATAGGACATTTTTATGGATCTAATGGTGGAATATAAAAAATCGTTGATCGCTATACAAAGCAATGCTGCTAAGCTTACATCTCTGAAACTTCCGGTAATTCAATAGTACTGTATTTTCTTTCATTCCAGGAGAAGGAATCTTGAAAAAAACATAAACAAACCTATCTAGTGTTATTTTATGAGAATGTCCTTCAACGGTGCCGTGATAGCTCAGTTGGGAGAGCGTTAGACTGAAGATCTAAAGGTCCCCGGTTCGATCCCGGGTCGCGGCATGATTTTTTGGCCATCGTAGTTCTGCGTCAACAATTTCCATCACAAAAGGCTGCAATCCTATTTTTCAGTGTATGATCGTCGGGTTGATCCAGCTTCATATCAATAAAAATTTTCGTCCCTTTATCTGAAATACAGTATATGGGCCGGAACAGATAACCCAAGCATTCAACAATTATTCTGAATAATTTTAGGATGAAGCCTATATAATACTGCACAGCAGGTGTCTATATATATACAGTATATAACGACAATTCCGATAATCATAGTACAGTATGAGCGTACTTTATAGCTTAATTAATATAAATTACATTCTACCTAGCTGAGAATGGAGTTGCATCATCAGCAGCATGTATGTGCCGACAGCAGGAAAATATTAAAATAGAACAGGTATATATAATGGATATTATAATAAATACTGTGTAACAATACTGATGCATTTCATTGTTTTTTACGAGTATTCATTATTCTCCAGCAATTCAAGAGCCAGACAACAGAGCAACCAGCATATATATATATATATATATATATATATATAT